ACACAACAACAAACGACAACCAATGCAGCCTCAACATACAGCAGCATAGAGGTAATCATTTCCCAGACCTACACACTGGACTTAACTAGAAGCTCAATTCTGATGATTGATGACAATGTGCAACTTTGTGCAAGCAATGTGTTTAACACCAATTGCAGCAGTCATCGGCAGAGTTGGGGGGCATCAGAAAATCATCAGGTTCATCAGGTTAGCAAAAATGATAATGGGAAAAGGGAAAATGAATCATCCTATCAGTAGCTGACTGTATAAGATCAAAGCCTGTGGGTGGCATTAAAGCAAATGGGTCACTGCTCATATATTCAGGAGGAGTGGGGAGGATATGTCTCAAGGAAAGAATGGGCCACACAATCAAAATATTTGTTTATAAAATTACCCGAAAGAAATGACACAGGAGGCAATAAATTGACACGACAAGTGAATAAAAGGCTAATGCACTCCAATACCATTAAAATAGTTTTAATACTGTTGCAGATCAAACATGCAACAAATGCACTTTACCCCATTTAAATATGGCGCAGATAAATGTTTTTTTTTTCTTTTTTAAATCCTGGGAACATAAGAATTTTCTGAAAAAGAAATGGTTAGAGCTATTTTCCCCTTTGTTTGTGTTTAAAGGCACAATTCTTAATGAGTCTAGCGAGAACCTGATAAATTTTACATTATCCTACATCTATGTTCAATCCAGGTAATTTATTGTATAGGATATTGTCAGGTAGGTAGAAGCTTTCAATTGTCAAAGTGTCTATTCCTTTCTCCTGACCATCTATAATACACTTGTGATGAAAACTCTTTGAGTTAGAGCTGATAATTGCAACCAAGTAGCCAGGTCTAGGGATTCTAAACAAGAATTGTGACTTTAAACTTCATTGAAGTAAGAGACAGTTTGGTTGTGTGAAAATCACATTGTTGATCATGTTAGAAAATTCCCAGCCATGCACACTAAAAAAAAAAAAGTATTAACCTCAGCTTCAATGAATAGTTTCCAGAATCTGCCAGAACTTGGGAACTGTGTGACAAGTCGCTCATATGTCTTCCTTGCTTTATCTATGGGTTGGTTCTAAAGAAGAAGAATGGATTTACAATGCACACTATTTAATATATGAAGAAGCAATCATATGGGAAAAAGATGTAGTGTATTTAAACAATTTATATCCCCTGCCCCACTACCCTCCCCACCCCTTATTCCCAGTTTGCTTAACCCCAGGAATGCAACTCTGTGTCACTAAACCTGTGCTTCTCGAATCAGAATGCTCCATGCGTCAAGGTCATATGGGTTTTCTTCCAACTTCTTCTCTGCCTTCTTCACCTTCTCTGGAATATACTCTGCTGCCGCCTGCAAAAACACAAAAGCAAAGGACAAAAGATTTATGCTGCTGAACAGACTGTGATGGTTATGTTGTGGTAATGACTCTAGGGGCCTACGGGCTTATGGTATTGGGATTGGCTGGGTATTGATAAACGGGACCGTAAATTATCAGCTATGCCCCCGCCGAATGTTTAAAACCATTAGGAACACCTGGCTTGTGGTTTGTAAATAAATCAATCGTTTTAACTCTAGCTAGCTATGTCCTTATAGTTGGCACGATTGAGGAACACCCAGCACAGTGAAAACTACAACCACTAAAGGTGATTAACTAACAGTATCTGTATGTTAATGCCAAGGTAAAATGTAGGTGATATTAAGTAAGCACAATGCGTTAACGATGGTCAACCAAAAGTAGCAACTATGCTACAACTAGCCAGTCAATATGGCGCATGACAAGCTAAACTTGGAGCTTTACGACGAACCCATACAAATCACGAATTGTCTGCGTAAATGTGTCATACAAGCTACTACTGGCGTATAAAAAGTCACTACATAATGCATACACTGTAACAGAGTTTATTTACTAATATTACCCGAATAAAAAAACAAATTAAATGATGCTAGCGTTTCAGTGAGGGTTAGCTTGCCCCTGAGCAGAACTGCATGTAGCTACCTGGTCGGCTGTTCCCTCGGTGGACATGGCTGGAAGAGTAATCTAGGTTAGAAATGTTAAATCAGTTGGATGGACGCTCAAATAATAACGTGATGGCAATTTAAAAAAACGACTAAGTAATCGGCATAGCTTCAAAAGGGTCGATCACATTGCCCTCAAGCAACTAGCTGCTCAACGGCCGGCCGATACCTCAAAATGGCGTGAAACTTGTGTTCCGCTTCGCCAACAGCAACAACAATAACACTTCCGGTGCCAATTCTTTCAAAATAAAATATTAATGTCCACAAAACCAAACTAGCTGAAGCAACTTAAAATTTGACTGCACACATTATGTGGTGCAATGCATCCTCGCACTATTCGTAAATTATTACGTAACGTTTAAACAAGCAGGCCCACTGCAGTGATGACTTTTTGAAACTAAACCGTCCACTAGTGCTGCAATCATAGGCTGCAACTATGAGTTTAATTATCTTATCAATTAATCTGCTAATTGTTTCACTGATTAATCGAGAGATTTGCTTGAAAAAAAGGTCAAGCAAAATATAAATGCCCCATGTAGACGTCTTATACAACAGTTAATTCCGACCAAGTGATTTGATTGGACGAGGGGCATTCCAAATGAGTGCTGATTTAAAGTATAACAGCACTGAACTACATGTATCACTCTGCTTTACAGGTGTTCTATTAACCATTAATTGGCGTTACATTAACGGCCGTTATCTATCTCAGATTATAACAACCTTTGCAAAGATGAATATTCCAGAAATAACATTTGATGATCGTCAGAAAAGGGAAAAAGCCTGGGTATTTCAGTGCACACCTGAGGTAACGTGTAGACAAAGTAGCAAGCTAATGTGCAGTGTGTAGGTCAGGGAAATGTTTATGTGTTGCTTAGCAACAGTCAGTACCAGTCCAGTTGCGGAACTATTTGTGTTTGCGTAGCCAAATAAATGATAAAATAAACAAACAGATCATAATCTGTTGTTGCTTATTTAACTAATATGGCTCTCATATAACTGTTGTATGAAAGCAATATCACACTTGAGGCCGTGATGTTGTACTGAATATCAGTACGGATGTGATTGTCTTGTAACTATGACTGAATCAAAGCCGTGCTGATATTCGGTACAACATCACTCACTTTCGTGTGATATTGCTTAATTAAATTATCTTTTACAATGTTTATAAGCAGGTGCGTTCATGTCATTCATACGAACTGTAAAGCAAGCTTATAATTTTGGTCTGTAGGTGGCTTCTTGCAGTGGTCATTGTGTATGGTCATTATAGACGGATGTTTACGACCGTAACTCATATCCCTAATGTTTATGTTTTGACCCTTTAGCCATTTTGTCAGTAAGACTATACACGATTAATACGATTAGTTATCATAACTAACATGGCAAAATATGTGTCAGCAACATCAACAAAAGCTCCTTTTGTACTGCAGAATGCTGGTTGCCATGCTGGCCAACAGGGGGAGACAAAGGATAGCCACCGAGAGCGCGCGCTTATAAGAATCTGGTCAACAACCTGAAACAGACCAGAGCAAAAGACCACAGAGCAATTATCTGATCAAAAGTGAAGAAGACTTGTTTTTTTCCTCACATACAACGCTTTTAGAAAACTCGTGTATATGATATATATGAGCTTATAGAATGTAGTAGTCCAGTGACGTCATGTTTTTACTCTGCTCTGTGTGTGAATGTGATTGAGTCTTGGTTGAGCCAACATTTGTTGTGAAGAAAAAGCAAAAAATGCAATGCTTTGAGTTAAATTTGGAAACATAATTAATGTACTTTTGCAGAACACTGTTGATAGTGTTTTTGTTGTCAGTTTATTCAGGAATATGTCTGTCTAGATCTGAAGTTAACCCATGCACAACTGACAGGAGCCTACGTGGGACAACGTATCTCTAGGAAGCACTTTTGTGTCTTTCATGAAGCTAAACCAACTTACAGGGGGCTTCTACTATTGCCGCACCAGCTGTGTTTACTAATAATGCACCAGGTTAGACAAGAGGTGTTCACACCTGCTTTATGGCTGACCAGGAATGGTGGTTTGTTGTCTGTAACTGTGGGTGGGAACTGGTGAGAACTGGGAAAGACAAAGACCTTTTGGTAGATTAGGTTACAGCTGGTCCTCTCAGACACCAGGGGCTTATGAGCAGCTTTCTTTGTCAGCTGGGTGCCTCCTGACTGTCTGAGCAGTAGACTTCAGCTTGTGCACCACCAGTAATTTCCTTAAGAACACTGTGTTGTTAACAGTCTGCTAAAAAGAAAGAAAATAAATTATTGGTTGCATATATTGACTTCATTAAGTATCAAATATGATACACATTTCAGAAACTGATCAATGATATTTGTACATGGCTGTTTTTTTAATTACATTTTTGCACACTTTTGTGGAATTGGTTATTAACATTAATCACTAGACTCTACTTTCATTTCATTATGCATATGCCTGTAAAATAAAGTACATAATTTGCTCGTTAACTTGATCTCCTTACCACTCACTGTTATTACCTATAAAGCTCTTTCAACTATGTACTCTATGTTGAACTTTCAGTGTTGTTAGATTAAGGAGATATCCAAGGAATGCAAATGTATTACCATAGCAATTTCTCTATCAACTTGCAGGTAAGTAAATAGCAAATGTTTAACAAAGGCCTATACCTTTAATGTATTTTATTCACAAGTCAAATGTACATTGTAACCCCTCTGATCACAGTAGTCCCTTCTTTTATTCCTCTCATCCTTTAAAACACATATAATTTAACATTTCACACAATGTGTATCTTCTCACTAAATATTTCTAGTGATGATAATTGATAATTCCCCCCCTTTCTCCTTTGTATTGTATTGCAAGTGAATATCCCTCTGAGTCCTGAATCTTTGTATCTGCTCGCTGATCGATTACTCCGGTCTGGTCAATGCCGTCAGTTCACAAACATTTGCTTGCAGTTGCTAGAGAAAAGGGACATGTTAGAGGCTGGCAGGGCCGCAGCACCGCACGTCTAGACGGGGTAACGGACACCCTTTCAGAGATGGGCTGCATCGCCCTAAGAGGAAGGAGACGAATTTGAACTGTGTAGCTACGACCTGGGCTCGGTGTGGTGTTTGTGGACGCTTATATGCAGGAGTTATTTAATGTTTAAAATGTGGGAGATGGTGGCGTTACCGAGAGCGAGCTCTCCCTTCCTGTCGTCTAGGACAAGATGGCAGCAATGCAGGCGAACTGTTCATGGTATGGATTTATAAGTCCATAACATGTTCAGAGAAGCCCTGGATTATACTTATAGTGACTCTATGTGAAGGTAAGTTGTTGGGTAAAGGCTGTCAATGGTGATATTTGTGCGAGTTAACCTTTGAAATGTTAGTTTAAATGTGACGTAATACAAACTCATAACTTAGCTACAAAGTTAGCTAGCGAGCTTTTGACAGTATAAGGTTTCAGCTGTAGCTTCGTACGTAGCTAGCTATGTCGGCACTTTGAGTAATGAATTTACAAGTGGTGATTTTATTTTTGATATCCTGCCAAACAGCAGCAGCGATGACGTTGGTGGTAATTATTACCGTGAATGAACTGGACACTCTCCAGTGTTCTTTTCACGAGGACCCATCGATGTCTTTTCAACATGTTGCTTTTATCATGAGCTAACCTATATAAACTAACATAGTCGATTCTGCCAGTATTACCTACCATAAATGGACCGAGTGACTGAACTTGTGAGTGATGTATTATTACTTAATTTATGTTCGATAACACCTGGCTTCCTTAGTGGCACTGACAGCGGCTTTCCGGCTAAATTCTGGTAAGTGCTGTAAAGTGTCTAATATTTTGTCCACTATAGCTGGGGTCTCAATGATTAAGTTATTGCTGTGCACCACCACATGCATTGTCAGTCCAACACAGTAATAAAAGGGACTCCATTAAAAAAATATATAAATTTAAAGTAACTTATGATAGTAGTCTCCTTCCTTACTTCACACTACTCAGCTTAGCAAATATAAACACACAGCAAAAGACACAGGGTATAAGCATCCAAAGTCGGAACCAATGTCAAAGTAATCTAAACATGGCTGCAATAAGTTACTTTGGTTTTTTTATTTGAAATTTTTTTATTTCATGTTGAAGAGTAGATATAGGCTTAGTTAAGGTCTAGAAGAATAGGGTTTGGGAATTACCACCACCCACCAGCAAAGCAGAAGTAGCCTAGTAATTGTAGGTTATATAGTCTACAGTACCTGCTATTTATATGACTGGGAACCAAGTTATTGGTCCCACTAAAACCCATTTTGTTTGGAAAATGAGAACCTGAAAGAGTAATCCAGCTCTCCATGGTGGACACATTTTGTAGACTAAATAGTTATGTACTTTCCCTGTCTGCATGTGTGTCCTGTATGACTGTCTTTGCCCATCACTAAGGTGAAGCAAAATGTGGGTGTATGCTTTGTTTTCCTAAGCTGAAACATTCCAGTGGTACACCAGACACTGAATGGAAGTTTTGGCTGGTTTGGCTTATGCAGCAGTCATGGCAGCTTGATTTGGTCCAAAAAGTATAATGCATCATAGCTGCTCTTTTTTAGTTACAGTTCCTGTTAGTGGCCTACTGTTTTTATTGTTTTAAAATCTATACACAATTTTCTGATTGCCTGGAACACTGGTATAATACAGATAGTAATTATTTACCACAAAATCCATTCTTATGAGTAGAGATGGTGTTCAAGTTTGACAACCTACTATGTGTGAAATAGTAGTGAAGCTGGCCCCAGTTATCTGTGAATACTGTGAACCTTTTGAGACAGCACCATGAGTACAGTGCAGTACTGTGCTGCTCTGTGTGATTCCCCTTTGCATAGACACTCCTGTCTGCTGTGTGTGTGTGTGTGTGTGTGTGTGTGTGTGTGTGTGTGTGTGTGTGTGTCACATTTCTCAGTTTATCAGTAGCAAGGCCACAGAAGTAAGGTTGTGGGTGATAATGATACCAGTAAAGCCAGAAGAAAGTCAGCACAGTGAGATAAGTAAATAAATGTTTAAACAGTGTTTTCCCCTACAATAATTGTTATTAGTGGGTAATGTTGGTTGTTAACTGAGCGGGGTAGGCACAGGGACTTGGGAATGTGTTGTCATGTGATGTCACGCTACGCAGATTTGCTATACTTGGGGCAGCTGGTTATCTGTATTGCATCGTGGCCAACTTAAAGACGGGTTTCGGAGTGATGTCATCTTGAGGTGTGCGTAGAGACACGAGGCAGTAAACAAAACAGAATGATTCCAGAGTTTATGGGGAGAGCACCATGACAAGACAATGTTGTGCGGTAACTTGCATGAATCACAAAAGTGATGGGTGGAAAATTTTCCTAGGAAGTAAACATCTGTTTCAGCACACAGCATCCACCAATCTTATCAGAGCCCAAAGTTTTAATGATATGATAGATGCCATAGTCCAGAAACTAGTGAGTACAAAAAAAATGCATTTGCATGCAATGTATTTTAGGTAAAACGGCTCACTCTGCTACTTTGTTCATAGCTGTTTTAATGGGACAGGCAAGTTTGTGTGGCACTATGATCAATGCTTTGCTGATCGATATAAGTGCTTGTTTAGGGGTGTAGTATTTCAGTGTGTGTGACTTTGTGACAACTGACAGCTTTGATTACTTTGTTTATTATTTTAGCTCTCTAAACTCACAGACACAAACCATCAGTGATTCTCACTTTCGTAGTCTCTTTTCATGTTTTTCTGTGGCTCATAGAAATAGTACTAGTGATGGAAAGGCCTCTGTCTTCTTAATCTGTGCCCTTTGTGCTTTTGAAATTTTAATTTACATTTACAACCTCTACAAAAAGGCGATGGGTCAGTGCTTTGTGTATATCGAATAAAGAGTGCTACATAATGATGTACATGTGCCTACACATTGAGCTGAGTTATTCATGTATAAAACGTCTCCATTATTGAGCAGAGGTATAAATTGTAATTTCAGACACACAAATGCTCATATTCTGTGCCAAGTGTAATCTTATAGTGAAGCAAACTACCTGGTACTCTTGTGGTGCTTGTAAGCAACATTCACTATCCCTTCAGCTTAATATTCAACTGTACAGTATATTGCTTGTGTACAGGAGTTAATCCAACAAGGACAAGATTTCTAAATGATAGTCATAAGTTCACAGTTGAAATACCCCATGGTCACATGCTTTAGAAAATAGAGGGCTTTTTTATCTAATGGGCATAAGATCATGTTCACGAGACACAAGCAAAGCACCTCAGTGAGGTTGTGGAACTGTGAGTAAAGACAGCAACCCCTGCTTTAGGCTCAAGGGCAAACAACAGCAGGAAGCAATTAAGTAAGCAAAGTGAAAATTAGTTTTGGAAAAAAACACTATAGTTGCGCATCTACCCAGATCCCGTACCTACAACACATGACCTAGTTCAGTTGAGGCATACTGGCCCTTTTCAGACCTGGCATTAATGTGTCTCGGGTGATCCAATTACAAGTGGACAGCTTTAAGCACGTTGGTTAACAACTGGCATTAGAATGCATCTCCACATGTGTCTCTAGTGACCACTTGTGATCGGATCTCACTTCCCTGTTCTATATGCAAGTAAATATGTATACGTTGTTATTTTTGGCCAATTTGATGGGTCCGTTGATGACACATTTGAGAGAGAGAGACAGGCAGTGGGGAACAGAGGGGTTGAGCCAAGCATTGCACAGCGCACAGCTCTACGATGTAATAAGTTTTCAGCCATTTGAAATAATATTTTCAGTTCATTGTGAAAGTAGTCTAAAGAGTGGACAACAGACTTACTAAACTAAGTGTTTTATGCATTTGCAAATTGCACTAGTTCTCTCCAAGAAAAGCAGTGTGTTTTTTACCATTGTGGTACCATTGTACCAGTATGCTCAGCTAATCAAAATTTTAAATTCAATATTTAATCAATAAGCAATGTCAATCCATTTTTTCCCATCTTGCATTAGTCCAGAGTCATAACTAAACCTTGACTGAGAGACAAGATATTCATTGTCTTGTTTTAAAATGATGTGCGCCATAAGAAGTGGTCCTCACAGAGGTTGCTGCTGGAAAGTGCGAGTTTCATCTGGTGCACACGCATATAAATACATGTTATCTTTTTCAGGCACCAAGTCACAAAACTTACTCCTGGAAGTTGCTTTTAAGCAAAACCCAGACAGACCAAGAGATGCACTGTTGAGCTTGGTTAGTGAGACAGACAGACTACAGAGATGCACATCAACTTATCAGTTACTGTTACTTGCTGACATCAGACTTGGAAACGAGAGAACACAAGTTTACCTGATTGCTGTTTCTGCAACTCACTCTCATGGTGTTTTTTTGCTCTGTTGTTGACCAGAAGGATAGTTCCACTTCATTCTTTCATCCAAGTTGTAAACATTGACACCCTCTTTGACATAAGGGGGAGGTTATGCCCTTGTGTAATTTGCGGAGCCCTACTCAACTTGCGAAATGAGCATAAAGGACCACCTGGCTCTGAAATAAATGCCAGCATTGATAAAAGAAATTGATAATCATTGGGGCATGCGATTCCAATGGTTTAGACAATTTCGAACCGGTTCTCCAGCTGTGTTGAGCTAAATAGCTACGGTTATTTCTGTCCAGTACTAATGTTCTGAAAATACTGACATGACCATACACTCGTCCTTTCTCCCTGTAGACATTACTGCTGAGTGGTGCTCAGCATTTTTTTTTTTTCATAATCCGCTATGAGATTTGTTTTCATGCAAAAAGAAAACATAACTACCAATATTAGGCTTAAATTGCGTATCATGGTTTCCCAGCACAGTGCTCACTGCTCATTGACTGTATTGAGCTAACACTAATGCTAGCTGTCTAATGTAGAATGCTGTGGGTTTTTAGCTGGCAGTTGTTTCTTGCACAGATCTCCCAAGTAGAGACAAAATAAGTCATGATGTGTTGTATTGCTAAGCTCAACGTAGCTTGCTCCATGGCTAGCTAGCCACAAATACCCCAGCAAAGAGTCTCATAATAAGGCTAACGATAGACTGCTATATGAGATGAAACCCTCGATATCAGTAAAGTCTTGGTCTACACTGTATGTGGAGCAGATTTACAGTAGTTCTGAACTTTAATTTAGCTTTGACATACCACATTGGTGATATATTGGGATTCCACGTCCACTCCATTCTTAAAGAGGAACACTGTCTTAAACGTCACTGGTAGTGTCTCAAATTACTGAATACAAAAGGGTCAACATCTGTAGCATGCCGCTGACAGAAACACACTGTCAGAGCGTCCACATGAAAATGTATATAGGGGCATGCAGGGGAAATAATAAATGGATGAATGGATAAATAAATAATGAATACATTTAAATGGGAAAATAAATAAATAGTGGAATTAATACAAATATGGTAAATAAATACAGAAGCAAATTAAAACAGAAATATCAGTTTGTCACATTTTATTACTTAATACCTGTATTTATTTTTAATGTGATTTTTGTCCCTTTTTAATTGCATATTTATTTATTCGAGTAATTTATTTGTTTTTGATTTTGGCAGTTTCAGCCCTCCACATTTTGTGTTTGACCGTCACCACCTGTTTGTCTACTCGCCTATTACTANTTTTTTAATTGCATATTTATTTATTCAAGTAATTTATTTGTTTTTGATTTTGGCAGTTTCAGTCCTCCACATTTTGTGTTTGTTTTTTACCACAACATGCTTTGACCGTCACCACCTGTTTGTCTACTCGCCTATTACTATTATTTCTCTGTCTAGAGGCTTTTTTGGTTCATCAGTCAGTCCCATTTGTTCATTGTAGACAGGTGTCTAGTGTTTATTTTCTTCTCAATTTAATTTTGAGTATGCCAGGGTCAAAAGTTCAACTGTGAGCAATTACTTAGCAGCTCAAGGTTGCTGGAAAGGTTCTACAGCTTTGAAGGATGTAATGCGATACCACACGTGGAGCCTCATGGCCAACCAAGGGAGTATCTGGCTCCATATGATAATAATAGCAGCAGCTGCCCTTTTTTTGCTTTGAAACAACAATAGCTGTCTACTTCATATTCTTGTGTCAGACTGATACATACCATTTATTTAGTGATTGCATTTGTGTGGTCAGGGAAATTAATTGATGCCAAAGTTTAGTTATGTTCTACATTGAATTTTGGTGTTGTATTATGCTAAGGTGATATTCATATCTAGACATCTTTATGTTCAGTTTTTCATGTTCATTTGGTGAGAGTGTTTGTGAGAGTGGTCCAAGTTCAGGCTCTCTCAGTCTAGGGACTCTGAAACCAGACAGCATGCTCTCTATCTCCAGACCAGACAATTAACATTTCCATTCCCCAGGCAGACAAAACTCTCAGTACAGACATAGTATTTCATGTATAAGTCATTTGCTAAATCACAAAAAGTCTCACTTAGCATTTATTCAACTTGATTCATGTTTTCTTCTCTATCAGCTATCCCCATTACACTTGAAAAAAACACTGTTCTTAGGCCTCCATATGGCGTGGCTATAGTCCTGGCATGTAGTTCTATTGTTGATTGTTGATTGCATTGTTCCCATTCACATGGGAAGGCCACTGTAGAGGAAGAAGAGAGAAAAAGCCACATGTGATTGATAATTGTCAACGTGTTTTGGAATGAGGTGGAAGAGGAAATGATTGTCCTGAGAAGCAACAGACCTCACATGTCACCCCCCTATCCTCTTTGTGAACTATCAGATTAAATAACAAAAATCTGTTACCTGCCTAATAAAGTATTTTTAGAATCAAACACAAACCCAGTATGTGGAAATGGCCAGCAAGTTGGATTCAAAAACAGTTAAAACCAATTCTAAACAAAATATCATAGGAAATTCTCATCCACTCCTGCAGCATGATTGACTTCTCTGCTGTTGACTCACATGTTCCAAACACGTCTTTTCTTCACAACAACAAATATACTATAAACTTGTGTCATGCAGTTGCCTCCTTAACTCTCTGAAGTGCAGATAGAAGAAGTGTATTTAGTAGTTTATCTGCTAAGTAAAGTTGTTTGAAACACACTAGCTTTTGGACCAAAACAGCAAAAATTATGCTCTCTGCCTCTGAGCCTTATTTTTGAAACTCCCATTTAGCGTGTCAAAATCAAAAATTCTCAAATTCTAGACATAGGTTCTGTAATGAATAATAGAGGCCAGGGCAGGGGTCTAAATTACAGGCAACACATCATAAATGTAGGGGTGTTAGCAACTGCCCCAAGAACAATTAAGCAAATCCCAATACACAATGGGAGAGAGGTGTGCTACTGTCTGTTTTAGCACCACATAAAGACAGACAAAGACTGGCCAAATACTCGCTCAAACACCTGTGGGTAATTTAGAGTCTCCAATTCATCCAGCCTGCATGTTTTTGGACTGTGGGGTATGCCCATGCTGGCACAGGAAGAGCATGAAGACTCCAGGTAGAAAATCCCCAGCCAGCTGCCATGACCATGAAAATGTGTAACTTACCATTAAAAAAAAAAAAAAAAAAAAAAAAAAAAAAAAAATACATTTGTGCTGTATGTAGTATATCATTTTTGTTTGAGACTGTAGTAGACCTTCAGACTGGACAGCCAGGACACTTATTTGTAGGTGTGCCAGTGTGGCCAATTTTAATTTCCCAATGGAGCACTTCCAATTTTGTTTTTATTCGTGACCAAAAGGGCTACCCTTTTGAGCCGTGCTTGGGATAATTTGATAAATTGTCTCTAACAGAGAAGATGGTAAATGGTGCCACCAAACAGTAACACAGGGTGTGATTGTGCAGAGAGCTGTCCAGGGAATTAGTTGACCTTATCTTGCTGCTCAGAATAGAGTCAAAGGGGTGGCTCACAGCATTAGTGTTATCACAACACAAGTGTGTTTTCCATCATGGATATTTATTTTAGGAGACTCTGCAGGGGCATTAACAGCCCAAACCTGACTCACTTGTGTGTCCTTTTAGATGGACTTTCAGAAACTGATCTTTGTAATGAATTGGAGAACAGGCATTAAAAGTGATGATAGCACTAGTAAGCCCAGCTTGTTTATACATGACAAACAGACCACCACTTAAGATTTGCCAAATTTGGTTTTCATATAGGTAAACATGGTTCTTCAAATGCACTGTTGATTAAAGTATGGAAACTTTTGGGGACAAGCTGCTTGTATCTCAATCAATGTGCCCCAGAATGAAAATAAGTCATAGGCTCCAGTATGGCATGCAGACAGTGTGTCATAAGGTCACTGCAGATTTTGAATATGGCTAGTAAGGATGATCAGGATCATCACTTGATTTTCCATTACACCTAATTGAGTTTCAGAATATTTCAGCAAGATATGGCAGTCTCCATGTGCATGAATTGCTTTATCCACCCTCAAACACACACACAATGGGGGAAGAGGGAAGAATAAACCATGTCTTAGGTAATTGGACACGTGGGGCTGATGATGCTTTGTGACTTTATTTTTCTCTCTTTGTCTGTCTCTTCATCCTCTCTCCCTCTCCATTGGTTGCCTAGAGACCTGCAGTAGGATGCATGGAAATGGCAGGAAAAGGTCAGGCAAACCTTTGAGAAGTTAGTCATCAACTGTGTGGAGGTGTTGGTGGGATTGCAGAGGAAAGCGAAGGTGTTCTCAAGCACTTCACTATAACATTTGACATATGTTGGGGTGATGGATGTTGGTGGAGCACTACTAGCTATCATGTCATCAAGTAGGCAGAGAAGGAGTAATTAAAACAACATAATGGGATTGATGATGTCAGTTGTTTTGGACTCATAGTAACATAAACTTACCCTTGACCTTAGTAAATAAAGACAGGAAAACAATATAGGAGATCTGGACTGTCCTTTGGTTTTTGGTTGATGATGTAACAACTACATTTTTGTATTGCACAATATGTTGTTCAACATTTAAGTATGAGTGTGGTTTATAACCCTGTCCACAGTTCTTAACATAGTTTTTTTTAAAAGTTTTTTTTAATGGCACCATTCTTTGTAACATGCTAAAATGGCTCAAGTTGTTTGCTGAGGATCCAAACTAATGACCTATTGGTTTATTGTCTTTATCTCCAGGTATGGCCTCACAAGTCTTGGTCTACCCACCACACATTTATCAAACCCAGACAAGTGCCTTTAGCAGTGTGAAGAAACTCAAAGTTGAGCCCAGCAGCTGTGTGTACCATGAGAGGGCACACCCGCGGACTTATCTGAACAGCAGAACCCTTGGCATTGTGCACCCAACGAAACAAGCCCACTCGTTTGTGAACCGAGACTTCGCAGTGGGCGTGAAAGTGCGTGGAGGACAAGAGTACCCGGTGCAGACGGTGGTGGTGCGTGGCGTACAGAGACAACAGCCCGGAAGAAGAGGAGGAGGAGGAGGAGGAGGAGGAGGAGGACCAGGCCCAGCTGCGGCCCAGCAGCGGCCGGACGCAGGGGTTGTCCACACGCAGGGCAAGGAGCAGCAGCAGACAGACACAGCAAGTGGGGGCAGCAGTGGAGCAACAGGGGCAGGAGGAGGGGGAAGGGGAGAGGGCTGCAGTGGAGGAGGTGAGGGGGGCGGAGAGGAGGAGGGTGACAGAGAAGAGAACTGTGGAGGTTTGAACTCAGCTGACAGCTCTCAGCGATGTGGGCTGAAACGTAAAAGTGAGGAGCTGGATAATCGAGGGAGCACCATGCAGATTGTGGAGGAACTGTCAATGTTGCCTGCCATGTTGCAAACGACGAATGTGGGGAACGCAGCCGTGACTGCACCTGCGGCCGTGGGGGCTGGAGGGGGCCCCTCCAAACAGGGTGCAGGGCCTGGGGGTGTAGGTGCAACAGGAGGGACAGGAGGAGGGGATGGGGACTATCAGGTAGTACAGCATGAAGTCCTGGTTTCCATGAAGAATACTTATGAAGTGCTGGATTTCTTGGGGCGTGGCACATTCGGCCAGGTTGTAAAGTGCTGGAAAAGGGGCACGGGTGAGGTAGTGGCAGTTAAGATCCTGAAGAACCACCCTTCTTATGCACGGCAGGGTCAAATTGAAGTCAGCATCCTTGCTCGTCTTAGTGGGGAGAATGCAGATGAGCACAACCTGGTGCGAGCCTTTGAATGCTTCCAGCACCGCAGCCACACCTGTCTGGTGTTTGAGATGCTTGAGCAGAATCTGTACGATTTCCTGAAGCAGAATAAGTTCAGTCCCCTGCCTCTAAAAGTGATCAGACCTGTGCTACAGCAGGTAGCTACAGCTCTGAAAAAGCTGAAGAGCATGGGTCTGATTCATGCAGACCTCAAGCCGGAGAACATAATGCTGGTGGACCCAGTGAGGCAACCCTACAGGGTGAAGGTGATAGACTTTGGCTCCGCCAGTCATGTGTCCAAAGCAGTGTGCTCCACTTACCTCCAGTCTCGGTACTATAGGTGAGTACAAAAAAAGTTCTGTCAATTTTTAACAAAGTAGGTTTGAGTTCATGTAACACTTATACCAAGGCTTTTGGGATAGCTCACTTTTTCCCTTTTTCATGGCCAGAAACGACAAATACAGCATTTATAAAGCACTTGATTAGGGTTGCAACTGTATGAGATTTTAGAGGTATGATAACCTTCTCAGAATATATCATAGTTTTATGGTATATGCTATTTTACAATTGATAATTAGATTATGATTATGATGCATTGATGTAAAAGCAAGATTTTACTGTTGTAGTTGGTTGAGGTGGAGCTCTTTTGAACCTTTTTTGTATCTAGCTGAAGCTAATGATTTTTTTCATCATGGGTTAATCTGCTGATTATTTTCTTCATTAATTGGCTGATTGTTTGGTGTGGAAAATTCTGAAAACAGTGAGAAATGTCATCACAAGTGCTCTAAACGATTCTCAAAATAGTTGCCAATTACAGCAGGTGTGCGACAGTTCAGCCAGACTGATCCTGTCTGTACCTTCTAAGTCGCACACGCACTCAAATATGTCCACTGAGCTGAGTAGATTTGTGTGTTTCTTTATGGGGTCAGATTGGGGTCAGTGTGTGTCTATTAGAAAGTCAGAGGTTACCTAATGGACAGACAACGCAGATGTAGCTAGGAGCTGGAAAATAATTTCTGATAGTGCATTTTATAATCAACATTTAAACGTTCAGTACAGAGGGAATAAAATTAAAAATGGGACTAGGGATGTTGCAATACACTGGTATTGCAGATAACTGCAATATATTAAAAAAATTTAATATTGATATTGTGTTAATAAGTGATGTCAGATGTGAGGCCTTGTAGTTCATTTGGTTGTATGCTGTAATTGTTTGGATGCTTTTGTACATGGTTACAGATTCTCTCCCTACACTTGTATTTGAGTCTAATTCATTTGCTAGAAAAGAGATAGAAAAATACACAGTTAAAGATGAATTTGACTGATAGCATTATTTATTTATTTCTTCTCAAATTTCATAGATATATATTATCTAATAATAATCTAGATAATATATGATATTATCTTTTGGCCATGATAATTGTGTAGTCAAAATCTGTTATCATGACAGGCCCAAACAGGACACACATTTTGATCTGTATGGAGGGATGGTGTTGATGAGTGAACATGTTTGATTTATTTCATCCTTGTTAGCCACTTTGCGTCCATGTTTTTTGCAACCTCAATATCTGTCCTGGAGGACAACCCTGTGTATGTTTTTGGGATATCCAAAGTTATCCCACACTGTGGATTTTTAATTTATTAGATAGGTGATATCAGTCTCACTTCTCTCTGCCATTTTCTCTGCTGCATATGTGTGTTTGTTGTCAGTCGCTGAGTCTGACAGGTAGTTGAAGAGGAAAGGAGACGTGAAAGTACAGGTCAGATTCTCTGTTGCCTTTTTTTTTTCTCAATACAGGTAATAAGTGAATGTACATGGTATGATAGCAATCAGTTTTCATACCATGGCATACCGTGAAACTGGTGTACTGCTGCAACCTGAATACATTATCCTGAAGATTTAGCTTTTAATTATCATTATTCCTATTCATAAGAATATGAATAATACGAAACAGATGAAAAGTAGCCTCTACTGCTTGCTGTGTTGTTCACAACCACAGAGGCGTGGAATGCCGGGGGGAGAGAGAGAGATGTTTATTTCATGATCCATGATGAAGATACAGAAAAATAGAAATGCGTGGCAAAAATAGCATGTTGTCAATATTTTAGAGTTACCCCCAAAATTTCACACATCATGTTTTCAGGGTAGTCCATGTCTTATTAAGAGGAGCCAAGCTCCCTGCAGACCACCACAGTCAGGTTTAAAAAATGTCCTTCCTCTAGCAAAACAAGGAAATGTCTCCCATACTGCACAACATCCTGCCTATTTAGGACCTACATACCACAGACTCTGAAAAAATGTGACCCTGCAGTATTTACTAGCTGGGTGCACACTCACTGTTCATGTCCTTGCTGCCTGGGAAAGAAAATTGTCTTCTGCAAGACTTAAATAAATTTCTGGTATTATTTGTATTCTGGGACGAAGCTGATTAGGAATTGAAAGAATTTACAGAAAGTATGACAGAAAAAATGGACAGGCAAATATTTGAAGACAGACACTAATGCATAGTGTGAGCAGTTAGATTAAGTCAAGAAAGTTTAGGGAGAGAAATCACAGAATGCCATTCCACAAATAAGTATGCTGTTATGGGCTCTGAGATATGAGATATGACGTGGTTGTAGATACAATACCTAATGTTTATGTTAGAAGGACACCTTTGTTTCTGCTGGTCTTGGATGTGCACTAGGAAAACCGACAGGATAAATTACCTTTGGCAATTTGTTAGGAGTGCTCTGGTTTGATCAGAAAAACAGGCCTGAAATGGTATCAGCTGTTGTGTAAGAGGCAAGAGTGACCCAGTTCACTGTTTGATTTGTGCCTTTCCTTAGTTTGCATAGAGGTTTTGAGATGAAGAAAAGATATAAAGTAAGCCATTTTACATGAATACTCTCCTCAGATGATAATAATTTCTATAAGGGTTTGTATATTCATGCATGTATGTTTCATAAAGAGTTAATTGTTTTGCCATAGTAAGTGGGTGTGGATATTTGCATAATTGGTACAAACCTGGGAAATGTAGAGCTGTTTTATTTCCTTACTATTACCTTTTGATCAAGTGATATTGCCCCGGCTTTCTAGTTAAACCAAAAGTTTTGATCTCATCATGAAAATATATGCTCGGTGCACAAGTGGCATGACTAACAGTTGATGAATAATTTGATTTCAAACCTTGGCAGCTGGTGTACATGCACTCGAGCTAGTGATTCAACCATTATAACTGACTCACTAGTTACTTATCATTATGTCTTCCTTGGACCTTTCCCTAAACACAAGGAATTAACTGTTACAGTCAATATTTGTACAGCATACATGGAATCAGGATTCCTGTCATTGTGCTGGCATGTGATCACACCATGCCACAGCTAAAGTTTGCCATGTTGAGCTAATGGAAAAATGATACATATTCAACCAAATCGAGCAGTGGTCAAACACACCCTGTCTACACAGGCTCCAGTTCAGCCTTTCGTCTGATGTAACGGATATGCTTCCCTTTTAGTCGGTGCACCTGTTTACACTGGCCCTGTAAATGCTGTCATTCTTCACTCATGCTTTGCTTACACTTTAGGTACATATCTGTGACCCAGCGCTTCTATTTTCTGTTTCAAGTATATGTTTTCACATGCAAATAGATGAAAATGCATGAAACTGTGAACTCTGGAAACTGATCTGGAATTAGAATGTAAAGATATTATATACAGTTATTTGCATTATTGAGAGTGCACTACATCATACGCGTGTGTTTGTTTGGGGTGGCAGTATGTGTGGCTAAAGTTAAGCCTCGACAGTTGTCACAGTAGGAATGAGGATAACAAATTTTAAAGCTAACTGCAAAGTGATTCAATTAATGATAGAAATACAGACAAAATACTAGTAAACATTGTTACGATGCAGCACACAGTGGACCCCTCGAACATTATTAACTAATTGAAATTTAACCTAAACAGATGTAATGCCAAATAATAAATATACAGACTGGTCAGATCGGATAGACTTTTGGCAAGGAAGACAAGTGTGTTTACTTTGTGAAATTTTAGGGTCTCGTGGTTTGAAGAAATATGGCTACTGGTAACACTAAAAACATGCTGTGATTCACTGTGGTGGCAGAGATCCATGCTAGCAAGCAACATTTGCCTTAAGAGGCAAGCAGCCTTTGTTCTCTCTACTGTGCCAGTGGATCTGTCTCTGTGATGACATCCTATTATAGGTAGCATGTCATCTCTGCAGAAGCTTGATACTTTGGAGCGATTGATGTAGTTTGTGTTTTTACTCTGACAGATGATGCAATGGGACTTTTTTTGTGTTTTGTTTGTCAGTCTGCTGATGCCCTTGTGCCATCTTGCTTCTTCTGGTAAATTTCCCCTCCTCCACTCACACAAACTCTTACCTCAGTCTCCCACATGGCAGGTGTCTGGCCCTTAAGTCATTATCAAATTTAAATGAAATTTGATGTGATCGTCTTGATATAAGAAATCCAGAAAAACACAACTGTACATCAGCTTCAAAGTTTAATATCTTATATCTGTGATATCAACCTCCTATTCATTGACACTTCCTTCAGAAATGTCAGCAAGAGGACAAGGGAGAAAAACTTTTAGTATTCTCCCCTCAGACTGTGTTAGTAAAATTGCAACTGGTTATAGTGGTTCCAACAAGGAGAGATCTTACCATTCTAGTTTTGGAAGAGGTCAGTTTGTGTCCCTGATTTTGCTGTGTCACACTGATAATGTTGGTATTATGTGTTCAATTTCTACAGCATTGAGGCAAATGAAAAAGGGTTTTGGTATATGAATTAAAATGACACCATTTAGATTAAGACTTGGGCATTTAATGAAAATGTAATGGAGGAATTGACTTATCACTGCAGTTTGTGTTAACCCTAAACTACACTTCTATACTTTCCCTGTCCTAACCAAACACTAATTCTGATGTATTAATGTTATTAGCTGTCAGCACTACAGTTGCCACTACATTACTATTGCTGTTACTGCCGCTACTATCACTATTATCAATATTGCTATCATTGTATGTTCTTGTTCTTTTGCTTTGTGCTCTCTCTCCCTCTCCCCAACCCAACCGGTCGAGGCAGATGGCTGCCCACCCTGAGTCCCTCTGTAAATAATATTATAAAGAGAAGGTCTAGACCTGCTCTATTTGGAAAGTGCCTTGAGATAATGTATGTTGTGAATTGGTGCTATACAAAAAAAAAATTGACATGTGCTGATTTTGTTTTCTGATCTGTTGGTTATAGCTTGGTTGAGATTAATTGATTTCTGAGGCCAGGGAGAATGGGGCAAGATTTATTCAGGTCAGTGCTATCTGTTTCAGTGAAAAGCATTTAC